CGCCGGCCTCGCGGGGACCGCGGCCCGCCGGGAGAGGCCGGCGGCGGCGGGGCTGAGGGCGAGGGCTCCGCGCCCCGCACAGCTCGGAGCGTGTTCTCGGGGGTTACCCCGGCGCAGAGAGGGAAAGCCGGGGCGGGGGGCGGGGGGGCAGCCGGGAACGAGTGGGTCTGAAGGTTGTTTGCAAAAATTGCCTCTAACGTCGGCTCCTGGCGCGGCGCGGAGAGAACCGGACAGGGACTGACGCGAGCGACCTCATACCTCCCCCATTAAATTGCCGTTCGTGTTCACTACCCAGCAAGGTGCTCATGAATGCACCTTAATAGACCTATATTCGTACACCGAGCGTGATTCCGAAACCGTGTTTTTCTCCTTAAATGAGGTGAAGGGACCATTAACTGCCGGACAGAGGTTAATGCCTACACCCTTGCGTATTCGGGATGACTTTTCCGTCAGCATTCCCTGTGCCTTAGGAAGATGGCTTGAAGAAGCAAAAAGCGTCCTCTAACTGCACAGTGGCTCCTCACTAGCTCGCTGAATTGCTGGGTCCATACAGATCTGATCGTAGGGCCTGCGGGGTTAATTAACGAATTAGAAATCTCCCGTAGATCCGTCCCTCTGAGGAGACTCCTTTTCTTCGTTTCTGCCTAACGTGTTTTGGAAATGGCCAGCGCCACGGCCGCACAGCTGTGCAGCCCAGCAGGTTCGGGCTCCACACGGATTTGCTCCATACATTTCCCAAAACGGTGCTAGAGCTTTAATTTTCCTTCAAATCCCTGCAAGTGTTGGTTTTATGAGATGTTAGAGATCCTTTTTATTGCTGATAGCAGGGACTCGCCTTCAAATATCCAAAGGAAATGAAGGTTACACTTATTCCTTTTTTCTTTCCCCAAAGAATCAAATTTTAAAGTTCTCCAGAGACAAATAAGGTTTTTGACATTGAAAAATACACTTAACCTAATATTACACTCCAGGCGTTGGAAAACAGACCGTTCATGGGATTGCCATTTGCTCAAGCTAACTTGCTCAAACAGAGCTTTCTTGTCTATTTTTATTTTTTTGGCACAAAGTGTCTCCAGCCACATCCTGCAGCCCTTATTGAGGAAAAACCGTCAGCGCAATGGCTTCACTTCTCTCGACCAAATCCTGCAGGATAGGGCCCCCTCTGCCAGACTGTGTGTTTCAAAGCTTCCACAGAAGCTTTTAGACTTGCAATGCCTTCGGTATTACAGGCAGGGCTGTGTCTAAAGTATTTCTGCGAGGGCTATGTCTAAAAGCCGCGTTAGCGTTGACGGGACGGCCGCCCCCACCCCATCTTGCCCCTCACCTTTCAAAAAAAAAAACCAAAAAAACCCATATATATGTATCTGCAAGGCCTTGGCCAGCCTCCAGCGATTTCTCGGTATTTACAGTGATGAATTCGGAGATGAATTTTGAAATTACATCCTGCCTTTCTGAGCCGGCTGCCTCTATCGGTAGGCCCACCGGTGGTGCTGGCTACCCCCGCCGCAGAGCTGGGTGAGGGGCCACCCAGGCTGCGCCCTCCGCCGCCCGGGCCGAGGAGGGACAGAGGGGTAGCAGCGGGCATGTGGAGCATTTCCCAAGAGGGCCAGGGAAATAAGCAAGTTAACTCTGCTTGCCTTGCCTTCCATATTGGGCTATGTTCTGAGCTTTAAGCTCAGGGCAAGGGGAAAAAAAAACATCCAGTTATTTAAGCAAGAGCCCTTCCCGCCTGACGCGAGCCTTGGGAGGCTGTGCTGCTGCTGCGCAGGGCGATCCTGCCTACAACTCGCCGTGCTTTGGCCTCCCCAGGAGAAATCACGGCCCAACTACTCTTCAGCTCTGGGACCAGTTTTAAAGTAAAAAAGTCCTTTGTTTTTTTAATGCCTTCCTCCCTCTCTTCCCTTCCCATCCTCTCCCCTCTCCCTCCCCACGCTGTGCAAACGCTTTGGGCGCAGAAAATGACGTTTTGGCAAACTGACACTTTCCGCTGGGCTAGTGGGAGACTCTGTTTACAAGCTCGGCGGACCTTAGACCTTTGTGCCAGATGAAGAGGCCTTGGAGGTTTGCAGAGTTTGTAAACCTACTGTTTCTGCATTCCCCTCCACTCGCTGCCCCCAGGACCCAGCTCCCCGCTGCCCACCACCCCTGGTCCCACGGTGCGCGCCCCAGAGCGGGGACCACACGGTGATTTCCCTCCCTCTTTTGTGTTTCATATAGGGAAAACAACGAGAATTCCAACTCCAACAGCCACAACCCGCTCTCAGCGTCAATGAACGGGAATAAGACAGTTTTGGGGAGCTCAGAGGACGAGAAGACGCCATCAGGGACCCCGGATCACACCTCCTCCAGCCCCGCGCTGCTGCTCAGCTCCAACCCTGGGCTGCAGCCCCTGCACGGCCTGGGTCACCCCCAGGGCCCCAGCGCCATCCCCGTGCCCAGCGCTGACCCCATGCACCACCACAGCTTGCAGGACTCCATCCTCAATCCTATGTCATCCAACTTGGTTGATCTGGGCTCTTAAAACAGTGTACACACTCCCTTCTTCCCATCAGCCCTCCTTTACTCTTTCTTTTTTTTTTCTTTTTTTTCCTTAATCTTACCAGAGACTTTGAAAGCGATGATAAACTCCTTAGTGGATGTGTTGTGCCCTTTGGCAGCAGGCTGGCTGCAGGTTTGGAAGGTATCGGACTCGGCTGTGGGTAGTGATGTTGTGAAAAGCCTTAAGGGTTGCTTAAAGGTGGTCTCAAGCGTGTAAGGACTGTTGGACAGGAGCTGTGATTTTCACGGCAGGCTGTAAGGCAGTTCCGTGTAGCAGCTCTTTCCAGCCTTAACTTCACAAATCTTTCCGTGGTGTCACTTGATCGGCTGGTCTGTGTGGGAAGAGACACATAGTAATCTTCTTTTTTTTTTGGGAGGGTGGGGAAGAAAGGGGAGCGCAAGGCCGCTCTTGCCATGCCTGTTTAGAAGTTACATATCGCTCCTGTTATTCTATTGTAGCTATGTATCTGTGGCAGGTGTACGATGTACAATTTCAACTAAGAATACAAAAGTTGTAGTCAAGTTATAGCAGCAACATGCGCTCTAAGCAGACTCTGTAACCTTCTTGTAGCTGATGCTATGCAGAGATGGCTTCTTTGGCCTTGTCAATGTGGTGCTTTTGCCATTTGCTGGGTGGGAAAGGAAGTGATGGCCCAGCTCCAGCCCCGGCCCCGGAGGAAGGCAAGGGCAGATTCTCCCCTCAGTGTGCAATGAGGGCAGGAGCGAGCTTTGAAAAAAAAAAAGAGGAATTGCTGCTCAAGGTTAGACCTAAATGACAGTATCAAGCGCAAGTCACTCACCTTAGTTTTGTTTATTGTTTATATTATGTGAATACATTCTTTGGAAAATATTTCTGCTTTTATTTTATAATAAAATTTAGAAATCTAACTCGGTGTGCGGCTGCTTCACTTGGCCACGGGATGTTTTCAGGCTCAGCCCTGAGCGGAGCAGAGCGGGCAGCCCGGTGGCCGGGGCTGACGGCGCTTGCCCGGGGGAGACGGTGGACACCCGGGCCGTGTCGGGGCCCCCGGGAGTCTCCCCCGGGGGCCCTTCCCGTGCCGCCGCAGAAACGAGCGGGCCTCGTCCCCCACCGGACCCCCCGGGCCATCAGACGGCACCCCCGCACCCCTGCCCTCTCTGGGGTGACCCGCGGAACAAAGCCCGGGCACGTCGGGGGCCGCTCCCACCCGGCCCGGGGAAGTGGCGTTCGCTCCCTGCGGAAGCGAGGAGACAAAAGGACGGGGAAGGACAGGCGGTGCGGGCCCTAAGGGGAGCGAGGAGGTCGCCCACCTGTTCCCCCGAGGGCACGGCCGGGCGGGCCGCCGGCTTGTCCGCCCCGCTGTCCGGTGGCCTCGGCAGAAAGCCGCCCCAGGGGCAGGCGCGCAAGCTGAGAGTGGCCAAACCCTGCTCCGGGGTCCGGCACGGCTGGACTGCAAATGCCTTTCCAGCTCCTGTGGGAGTGATGCCGGGAACAGGATTTCTCTATTCCGCTCCTTTTTCTTTCTTTTTTTTTTTTTTTTTCCCCTGTAAGCACAGGGTGGCAAAAGAGACAGGCAAGTTGCTTGCAAATTTGCTTCATTAAAAGATAAGAGCTCAGGGTGATTTCATTACAGCTTGCACCCTCGCTACCAACTCTTTGCTAGAAGCCGAATGTGACATTATCATCTGTTTAAAATGTTCCTTAGACCTTGCAATGGGTTTTATACTTCCCCCCCCTCCCCAAAAATGAATTTATTGTGAAAAATAAACCGAGAAAACGATACGGCTTCAAGCGGGATAGAAAGATGTGTAGATCAGCAAAGATCGCGTCCAGGTTTCAGACGCTGGCTGAAATTTCAATCAACGAGAGTTTTGTGCGGGCACTGTCCTAATTTGATATAATCTGGGGCTGGATTAGCGCCTCTGTACGTTTGTGGGTGTCCGCTAAAAGCACATTTCTCTGGGGCCCCGTTAAAGTCTATAGAAGGGAAGGTATAGATATCGGTAACAGGAAGCATCAGCCTCGGAAAAAAAGCTCTCTTACTCGTGGTTGTAAATCCAGTGTTCTCGTTATGCTGGGGTGCAGCGGGGTACAATGTTACAGAGGAGGCAATGTGGTATATTCAGGTTTATGTTTCTCTGTTTCTGCTCTTTGGGGTGATTTTTCAGCAGCGGAGTTGATGTGGCTGTTGCCTCTGCTGTGGGAGCGTACCAGTGTGGTCCTACACGCGTTAGGGTCTAAATAGCAGATCCCGTTATTTCCGTCGAGGGGCATCTAATAATTTTAGCTATGAATTCTAATCCTTTGACAATAAACATTTCGCAAGTAGAGGAACCATCGCTTCCTAGGGCTACAGAAGATCTCCGCTCTCTGTAAAATAACACATGCGGTGGTGCAATATTGCAGAGAATTAATTAATTGGCTAGTTAATTATTTTGTATTTTTAGACATAGAAGTAAGTTTGGGAAGGAAAACAGAACGACTGGGTTAATAAAACATGGCCTCGAAACCGAAATAAAGCCTTAAGGCTTTGCCCGCTGGAGGAAAAAAAAAAAAAAATTACAAAAAAAATAGAGAAAGAGTAAAGCCAAGCCGAGGAACATTTAAAGAGGCAGGATGAAAACAGGATGGGGTGTATGTAGTTAATAAAAGGTCATATTGCACAGAGGAGGCAGAATTCGATCGGGGAAAGTAAATGAAAGGCTGACAGGGTGAGAAAGGCCCTTTTAAAGCGAGGGGAGATGAAAACTCCTGTAACTTGCAGCGAGGATCACTTATATACGGAGAAAGGAAGAGAGGGCGAGTCGCTAAAGTCCATGAAAGACAGCTACAATCAGAAATCATGCAGTAAGAAAAAAAATAAATCTGCAGGTTAATCTAGCATTAAGGGCGCACACAGCTTAAAGCCCACATGATAGGGCGTGTGTAATGCAACCTGAAAACCCATACATGTTACGACTCATTTTATCGGACCGTACTTGCGTTAGTAATGATGTTTGATAAATTGGCCCAAATCCCCCCGATTTTCCACGCACAAGAAAAGTTCCAGATAGAGGAATATGCCGAAACCGACGTGACTAAGCCTTGGTTTTAAACAGATTAGTTATGATTCACTAGCATTACGTTACATGGGGCATATCTCTTCTCACGGTTGGTTGTTTACGGAGTACAGGCGCAGGTTTCGGGGCATAAATAAAGAGATGGTCCAGACCCGGCATGAAACTGCCCCTGGCTATGCCCGCAGTGAGGCGGGGATGCAGCGGGCAAACCCCACAGCTGAGCCCAGATAGCTTGGGCACCCGGGGGAAAAACCACGCTCGCTGTCTCTCTCGTATATGCACACGCACCTACACATATATACATACACATGCATGTATACATATATAAAAGTAGTATTTGCCCTCAGACTAAAACCTTACCAAATTACCTAATGAATGCAGCATTTATGGACCCCAGAACTGTAACTGGAATAATTCCTTTAGATAGCAGGGCACTGAATATTCACTGTGTACTAGCGCAGATTTGTTCTGCTGAGCAGCCCTGTACTTTATTACATGAGTGTTAACTGTCCTGGTGCTGCGCTGAAGAGATTTATGAGAGCAATGGCACATTTGAGAGAGAAAGCAATTTTGGCTGTCCTGCCAGGGCGCAGCTCGTCACCTTGCCGGGGAAATACTGATGGAAGCGAGGGCAGAGCATCCCGACAAGCTACTGAAGATGTGGCACAGTCCCCGAAGGGGAGCATGAATGACACTTTACCGGGGACAGGGAGCAAGATCATTGGCGTAAGAGCCTTTCCTATGAGTCCGGGAGCGTATGCCGGAGCTTGCTGGTTAAACGCCTTCCCTCTGGGAAGCACAGTCGCATCTCATCTACCAAAGGCTGTGTTTTCCTTTGGATGATATAAGCCATTTTGCAGACATTCAACACGATCTACACGAAAGAGCTCGCCTGCTTGGTGTATTTATTGCGGGCTACCGCGGAGAAAGCTACGTTCCCCTCTTCTGCTCCCCACCCCTGACTCAGCACTTCGGGCCTAACTGAAGTCTCTGTGTGTTTGAGGGGGGCTGCTCCAGCCCCGGAATGAAAAGCCTTGGAAGTGCCCCTGCCTGCCCAGCGATGTTTGTGTAAAGCACTCGGGCTCCTGTTACCAGACCCGGAAACAAAATCTATTGCCTTCTTTAGGAGAAACAAACGCAGCCCCGTATGAGCAGGCTCTTGCCTTGAACAAACCCTCTCTTGAGCATGACAAATAATGTAGGGGGATGGCGATGAAAACACTGGCCACTGGCCCTTACTGCAGAGCTCTTTAACTTCCTCTGCTTAGTGAATCAAAAAGCTGCGGCTCAGACAGCCAAGAAAAATATACTGAAGGGATCTTTCAGTGCCTCAGCACACAAGGAAAAGGTGAGGGGTTTGTGTGAAGGAGAGTAGCTCTGGGGTTTGGAAAAATACATACTTAGACTTAGGAACTGGGCTGCGTGATCAGCCTCTTCCCATTTTGCTGCGGGGAGCGGGGCTCAAAGCTTCGCCTCCCTGCACTGAGGAGGCGGTTCCTTGCTCGGGAAGAAGGTCCATCTCCTTCCCACTTAAATAAACGGGAGGGGGGGTGTGTTTGGTTGTTGGTTAGGGTGCGTTTGGGTTTGGGTTTTTTTTTTTTCCGGGTTTGGGCGAGAACGCTCAATCTCCAGCTCTAAGTATGAAATTCGCTTTTATCCGGAGTCCCGGTGTGCCGCAGAGCCGGTCCCGCTCCGCGCCCCGGGCCACAGGGAGGCGGCGGCTGCCGAGTGGGCGGCTGGGCTTGCTGGGCGGCAGAGCGATGACCTATTCCTGCCTCCAGCCCAACCCGTGTCCTACAGGAAAAACAGAAGAGAAAAAAAGGGGGGGCTCCTTTAAAAAAAACAGACATACGGAAACAAACTGGGACTTCACCAAGAGTCTGGGACTCGGAAGGAAACGGAGAGGTTTAGTGGGAGCTAAGGTGAACAGTCAGGTAAAATGTTACATCAGCAAACGCTGCTGCTCAGGAGAAGGGGGGGGGGGAGAGGAGAAATCACTTGGAA